ACTACCTGGGTCTCCACCTTTGCCATGGCCACTCTTTTTCGCTTTAACAAATTTATCCTTCAAGTTTTTCTAAACTGTTTTACAAAAACATTTTCCTTTCCCATGGCTGTTGCAATTTCTAGCCAAGATCTGGTTATCTCGGTCACGCATACAATTGTCTGTACAGTCATACCTATTTCAGACAAAATCTCTATTAAACTCAAATAAAATCTGGGGCCATGCGAACTCATGCGTTTGCTTGAGTATCCAAAAATCTTTTGTGTAAAGCGCTTTGAGGGCCTAAAAAAGTGTTATATAAATGTAAGGAATTATTATTATTAACCCCCCCCCCCCTTATTTTTATTTTGTACTGTTGTTATTATTTTAAAGTTTTGTATGTTGTTCTGGAGTCGTTTTGTTTTAATGTGATGTTCTGATGTTTAGATGTCTTATTTTAATGTTTAGAAAAACCCAATAAAAATGGTAAATGTAAGGTAAATAAGGTAAATGATAAATAAATAGAAATAATAATAATAATAATAATAATAATAATAATAATAATAATAATAAAAATAATGATACTACTAATAATAATAACAATAATGATGATGATGAAAATAATAATAATAATTATTATTATTATTATTATGTTAATAATAATAATAATAATGATGATGATAATACTACTACTACAAATAATAATAATAATAATGATGATGATAATACTAATAATGATAATAATAATAATAATAATAATAATAATAATAATAATAATAATAATAATAATAATAATAATAATAATAAAACAAGAAAAAACTATTATAGGAAATATTGTGAAAATTCCCTTGGCCTATTTGTTTGGGAAATATATGAAATGTAAAGGAGGGCTGTATTTGGAAAGAAGCATATTCAGTCAAAGTTTGTAAATCACTTCAAAAATATTATCATAGCTAACAATTAACATATCACCACAGTATTTGTGTGGTAAAATACCACAATGGCTCTTTATTTTAAAAGTACAGCATAATTAAATTAGTTTTCCCTACGTGATTTCTCCGTATTTTTACTGCATGTGATCTGTAAGTGCCCTTTATGCACCAAATATCGCTTATCCGTGCAATGTTGGGCTCTAGGGAAATGCTCTGGCCCGTTTTCCTCTAGGGGACCCCTCCATTTACCCAGCAGCGCTGCGGGCTAAATGAGAGCCACATGTACCCCGCTACCGTGGATCACAAATGAAGTGTTCTTCCGGTGGGTGACCTCTGACCTCACCAGACGCTGCTTTTGGCTGATTTGAGTAGCACCCAGAAGGTCTCAGTGGCCTGTTCCCACTCAGCACCTGGACCTGCACCTTAGACCTGCTCACCATACTTCAACACGTTCATATATACACACACACAGACCGCTATACACAGTCCTGATCGCAGCTTCATCCAGCGAAGATCTGTTGCATTCTCTATGTACCGCCACTTATACACACCCTGTCCAGCTGCTCTTCCACATGTGCGCCTTTGACTTTTGAACCCATAGATCCTATTAGTGGTATTTGATTGTTTGCCACACACTTCAGCAGTCAATACAAGTGTTATTATGAGTCCAGTGATTTCTGATTGCCCAGAAATACAAAAAATATTTATTTTTATTGTTTTTATTATTTTATTATTTACTTTTAGTATTAAATATGTATATTTCTATTAAACGTATGCATGAATAATTGCTTAAAACTGCATTAAATAATGGAAATGTTCATGATATTATAAATTATATTAAATAATTATTTATTTGCAACCATAACTCTGTTTTATTTACTGTTTAAATGTTTTTGATCATTTAAAATGGTTTAAATTGTTTTAAAACTTTCCAAGGTGGCATTTATTTTACTTCAAAAATACAGTTGTTTTGAAGTAATATGATATTTTTAACACTATTTTCCAAATTAAAACATTTTTAAATTTATTCCTGTGATGTCAGAGGTGCATTTTCAGCCTTCAGGAATCTGATGTGCTAATTTGGTGCCTCAAAAAAAAAGTCATATTATTTTCAGTGTTGAAAACAGTTATTATAGAATGCTTTTTAATATTAGACTTAAAAAAGGTTCAAACTTTTTATTTAAAATTTAAATACTTTATAGCATTATTTCTGTAATGGCACATTTGATCAACTTATTGCATCGCTGCAGAATACAAGGCAGATTGTTTGTTTAATTTTTTTTTTATGTATTTATTTAATGTATATATGTACAGCTGAAGTCAGAATTATTAGACCCTTTTAGGTTATTTTTATTTTTATTTTTTTTTATTTCACCAAACTATGTTTAACCGAGCAAGGAAATTTTCACAGTATGTCTGATATTTTTTTCTTCTTCTGGAGAAAGTCTAATTTGTTTTATTTCTGCAAGAATAAAAGCAGTTTTAATTAAAAAAAAACAAACATTTTACGGTCAAAATTAGCCCCTTTAAGCTATATTTTTTTCGACAGTCTACAGAAAAAGCCATCGTTATACAATAACTTGCCTAATTACTCTAACCTGCCTAGTTAACCTATTTAACCTAGTTAAGCCTTAAAATGTCAATTTAAGCTGTATAGAAGAAAAATAACTTGTACATTATTATTTACTGTCATCATGACAAAGATAAAATAAATTAGTTATTAGAAATTAGTTATTTAAACTATTATGTTTAGAAATGTGTTGAAAAAAATCTACTCTCCATTCAACAGAAATTGGGAAAAATAAAAAACAGGGCTAATAATGCAGGGGGCTAATAATTCTTACTTCAACTGTATGCATATAAGTATGCATGTATTTATGTATGCATTTTTTTATACTACATGTATGCAAAAACTATTTAAAGCTATTTAACTATATTTATTTTTGTTTTTATTCTAAAATTTTAACCTATTTTTAATTGTATTTAGTTGTATTTATTTTTGTTGCATTTATTTAAATATGTTTTATTATTCTACATTCTTAACTACTAAATTTTATAAATTTGTTTTTTTAATTTCATTTTTTGTTCAATTATTTTTCATATTTTTAAATTTTATCTGATTATATTTATTTATTTATTTATTTTTTAAAATTTCAAACTATTTAAATTTAATTTAGTTGCATTTATTTAATTTTTTTTTTTACTCTACATACTGTATAAGCAGAAACTATTTAAAGTTACATGTGGGCAGAAACATGATTTGATGAAGTTTCATAAACTATTTATAAGCCTTTATAACTAGTGATGTTTGGGTCTCTAATTAATGATTATGATTCATTTGAATTACTTTATTTTTGTTATTTTGTTTTGTTTTATTTTATTTTTCATTATATTATTTTTCCTATTTTTAATTTTTAGTTTATTGTATTTATTTTATTAAAATTTTTGTTCTATAATTTAACATTTTTTACATTTTATTTAGTTGTATTTATTTTAGTTGCATTTATTTCAATGTATTTTTTATTCTACATAAATACAGAAACTATTTAAAGCTATAATACAGCAGAAACAGGATTTGATGAAGTTTTATGAACTATTTATACACCTTTATGACTAGTGATGTTTGGGTCTGATTAATGATTATATTTTATTTGAATTACTGAATTATGATATTTTGTTTATTTTTTTATGTTTTATTTTATCATTTTTAATATTTTTAATTTTATTTAATTGTTTTTATTTAGTTTTATTTAATTTTTTATTCTATAATTTTAGCCTTTTTTATTGAATGCATATTTAATTGCTTTTATTTAATTTTTTTATTTTATTTTATTTTATTTTATTTTGTTTTATTTAGAAAAACAACTGCTAACTAACTCCATTGAAATGTTATATATTTGAAATCAGAATAGTTTATGTCAAATCAAGGAGCACAGACAGAAGATAGTGCCACGGATGTTTTTGTCCGTCTGCATTAGTTTCCTCCCCTGGGCTGAGCCTTGATAAATGGCTTCCCTCTCCACACTGTATTCCAAGAGAAAAGTCAACAGACACTCACACACACACTTGCACTTCCACAGGCTCTAAAAGAGCTATAAATGCATCATCAGATAATGAAGAGCGTAACGGTGGTCTTAACAAAAAGACTCTTTCTTTAAATGATCAAGCAGCTGTCAGCTTTTTACTACTAAACCACTACCATGAAAAATTATATATATTCTTTCCAAACTAAATGGTGCACTGTGAGGGAAGTGAACTTGTTATTTGATTGGATTTAAAACAAAACGATCTCCTCAATTGACTCTGAAGTGAAGCATGAGATATAAGATTTTCAGCCAGCACCTTCATCTGTGAAGCCGCATATTTCATGCATGCATGGACCCCTTAATGAACATCTTTTTTTTTTTTTTAATAAGACATGTGGAACTATTTATTTTTAATGATAGCAAAACGTTGAGTAATAAATACACTAAGATGATCATAAGGAAATATTAATCATAATTAGTATGGCACGAACTGAATTGATTTAAAAAGTCTAATAAGTACTGTATTTCCAAAAGTTTTTACTTTCCAGTGATTGCTGAAAAAATCCTTATTAACAGTGGAAATCTAATTGTGCAGTATAATCAGAAGTATAACAAAAGTTTTAAATAAAGACCCTTTTTTTCAGTGATCCATTTTTTGGATGATTTAAATTCATTGATCAAATTGTAATTTATTTTTATTGGAGAATGTAAAAGAAATTAACTTAAAAGACAATAAATAAAATATACATAACATTACAGAGAAAAAAAAAAAGATTTTCTGGGGTCCAATGGAAATTCTGTTGTAAATGCATTTGATGGTGTTTGCATTTGTGGAATGCTTCTCTGGAGTGTTTTCCTTCTGCTATCTTTAAGCCATGCCACAATGAAATTTAATGCTGGATCTACAAAAAAATAAACGATTCTATATCAATATTTAATACTGAAATCAACTCAGGATAAAAGCAGGCTGAATTTCATTATGGCTTGTCAGGGTGTTGTGTTCTTCTCAATCAGAAATGTTGGTTCTTTCTTTATTCTGTACCCATTTCTCTCGTCCCTTTTTCAGGGTCCACCTGGACGAGCAGGCTTTCCGGTAACTTTCTCACAACGTCTGTCTGTCTGTCTGTCTTTCTGTCTGTCTGTCTGTCTGTCTGTCTGCCTGTTGGGATTTCTTGCACTTCATCTTCCTCTAATTATGTCTTAAGAAGCTGTATCTAAACAATAAACTCAAAAATGGACTTTATATTTAAAATAGTTTATTGTTTATTAATAATAATCATTTATACATTAATTAAACAAGCATTCCAAACATCTATCTAGCTATATAAATACAAATACAGCTTCTTAAAAGATATTTTTAAAGCGCCTGAGGGAATACAACCAGCACTCAAAAACAAAATTACCTATTTAAATTGAGTACAAACAACACAATTCTAAAAATACAACCTAATTGTTTTATGTTTAATCCACTTAAATGTGAAAATTATTAAGTTAACTCAAATTTGTGTTGGGACAACATGAGGGAATTTTTACAGTGAGTGTATGTACAATGACTGTAGATTAACTTATTTTCTTAAACTGTCATCATTCCATTACTAATGTAGTCTAAACAAAGCAATCTGATTTTTTTTTTCTTTTAGAATTGTAGATTTCTTTTCTAAAAATGTCTAGTTTCCATATCTGATGACTGATTTTTAATAGATTTCAAAAAGCAACAAGTTATTGATTCATTTGCAACAAGGATATTCAGAGTAGTAAAACATTACTTTGCAATCTACATGTAAAATACTTTTTTAAAGATGTTTTTAGAGGCTAAATTCAAATCAAGCACCACTGAACCTACCATCTTTAGAATTGTATGCATTTTTATTGTTTTATTATTTTCATAAACTAAGGCGCATAGATTTTGTTTGTTTTTTCATTAAAAACTTTTTAAACTTAGAATTAAGGATTGACATTTGTTTTAGGTAAACATTGCGATTTCATGTCTACGTTTAAAAGGTGTAGGGCGACAGGTAAGGGGTTAAAAATGTGTTAGTTTAAGAGCAAGCAAAAATTCTCATTTATTTAATAGGAAATCTCATTTATTTATTTATTTATAAAATACATTTATTTATCTATTTATTTATTTGTGCATTTCTAATATACATTTATTTATACAATACATCTGTTTATTCATTTATTTATTTATAAAATATTTTAATTTTTTTACGGATTGATTTATTTTAGCTTTTAGTTATTTATAAGTTGCTAATTTGAAAAATATATTATTACATGGGGAATCTCATTTATTTATTTAGTTAGTTAGTTATTTACTTATTATTATTTATTTATTTATTTATTTATTCATTTGTTTATTTATTTATACAATTAGTTTGTTTACACAATACATTTTTTTATTTATATATACAATACATTTATTTATTTATTTATTTATTAATTAATTTATTCATTCATTCATTTATTTATTTCTGTATTTCTGTATTTATTTGTTTATACAAACATTTATGTATTTATTTATATAATACTTTTATTTATTTATTTTTTATTTATTTTACTTTCTAGTTATTTAAAAGTATATATATGTATATATATACATATCTCAGTCATAAACTGAACTTTTTGTCTGAATCGAGGGATTTTGTTATTAGACGTTTTCGTTATTTTTTATTTATTTATTTATATATACAATACATTTATTTATTTATTTGTTTATTTATTTATTTTAGTTTTTAGTTAATTAAAAGTCGCTAATTTAAAAAAGTTATACCAATAATAGTTGATTTTGTTAAATTATTTGAAAAAAATGTATATATGACTATATATATATATATATATATATATATATATATATATATATATATATATATATATATATTATCTCGTTTAGTCATAAACTGAACTTTTTGTGAAAACAATCAAATCGAGTGATTTTGTTATTCGACATTTACAATAAAACCTTTCCATTGTTATGCCTTTAATACGATATGAAATTTGAAGGGATCAAACTAGAAGTTCAAAGTAGTGCAGGAGTGCAGTGTGGGCTTTTGGATCTTACCATAGGCTTCGTTTAGCCAATCTCTTAGCTCAGCTTAGCAAATGAATCTCAATTTCCTTCAAGTTAGCACGTTGTTTTTTATACATGATTGTATTCTCTCAGGCCCTTTGGCGTTTGTCTGGATCCGCTCTTCTGAATTTCTGCTATAATTCTAATATTACTGACCAAAAACTCAAACACATCTGTCTTTCATTGTGGCATGTATGAGGAAGCCCATCGTATATGTGAACTCTTGCCCTACCTGCCAATTATAACCTGCAAACCCCCATCACTCATGACAGCTCTTCTTGTGAAACTTTGCCATAAAGTCTTTCTTTGCCTACCTCTTGTTTAAATTGTTGACAGGCCTGGTCAAAGTGTAGATGTGATCCCTGCCAAAGCTTTTGATTGATTGCATTGTCAGGAAATGAAATGCAGTTTTCGTATTATATGGAAAGTGTGTGGGGGAGGGGGGGGGGGGGGGGCAGGAAGGGGGGGTGGCAAGTGTTTTACTCAAAGTGTGTCCATTAGATTAGTTCTTCAAAAAATATTGATATTGGCATTCACGCTCTGTTGAACTATTAAGGGATACTTGAGGTTTGTATATTTAAGCTTTGCTGCGCATTCACATGTATATATGGCCATTTAATACGCCTGATTTGGAGTTAAGCACTTTAGGGATCATTTGGATAAGTCTGGACTTTGTAGTGTAATTCATCAAGCGACTGCTATCTAAACTTTAAATCAGTTTGCATACCTTGTATAATTGAATGGTTTTGTTATTTCTCTGACTCTTCTGAACACTGGTGTACTTAAAGTTCAATTTAGCTTAACTAGGTTATTAAGTTGAATAGGCAAGTTAAGCCCCGGTCAGATCACACAAATGTATCATGATATTGGCACAATTTACTTGACATAGGGTCTTGTGGGGATTCATAACCGACAAATGCTTGTCTTGACACAAGATTCAATCCTTTCTTCTTGTGTGATGTGGCATAGTTCACGACAACCGATACCATGCCTGCACCATCGAAAGTTTAGCTGGTTTAATTTTGCTTTCGTTTTTCATGACGAGTTCTGACATGTACACTGCAAAACTGCTTTTCTCATTTAGATTTTTTGTCTTGTTTCAAGTCCAAATATCTAAAAATTCTTAAATCAAGGAGCATTTTTTTAGACAACCAAAACATATAGTCTTGCTTTGAGAAATAATATGCCAATATTAAGTGAGTCTTTCCTTAAAACAAGCAAAATAATCTGCCAACGGGGTAAGGAAAATGTATTTGTTTTTCCTTTTGACATAAGATAATTTTGCTTACCCCATTGTCAGATTTTTTTGCTTGTTTTAAGGAAAAGCTCACTTAATATTAGCATATTATTTGTCAAAACAAGACTATATGTTTTGCTTGTCTTGAAAATTCTTCTTAATTTGAGAATTTTTAGATATTTGCACTCAAAAGAAGACAAAAAGTAAGAAATGCATTTTTTGCAGTGTATGTGGCACATCATTTCTCAGCTATATCAGTGGGTGCTGCTGTTAATGGGCTGGTCAGGTAATCAAAAAATAGGCTGCATATTTACTTATGAGTGGGTCACGGTTGGATAAGATCAATCATTGGTTATGCAAACTTTAACTTTTCTAAAATATCAAGGTGTTTCAAGGAATTTTATCTGACAGACTGGCACAAACATGCAGACATCTTCATTCTCACAATGAGTTTCTAAGTTTGCCTCAGAAACAATGAGTTTGCCTTAGAAACAATGAGTTTCTGAGGCTTCTCTGGAACTCTAAATATTTTTAGGCTAGATTATTATTATATTAACAAACCAACACAATCTCATGGCAATTCAAGTTTTGGCGCATATAGTGGACTCAGTGTTTCCTCTGGCATTTTTTCTAGGCTGGAAAGTGACCAGCTAAAACCATCCAAAACCAGCTTGACCATCCTGGTTTAAGCTGGACATAGCTGGTTTTGGCTGGGCTCCCAGCTTAGTTAGGCTGGTCAAGCTGGTTTTAGTTGGTTATCTCCCAGCCTGTCCAGCTAAAACCAGGCTGGAAATGGCTGTAAACCAGCCTGGAAGTGGCCAAAACCCTTCTAAAACCAGGCTGGTCGACTGGCAAAAACCAGCCAACCTTCTAGGCTGGTTTAAGCTGGTTTTTTCAGCTGGGTATTTAAAAGGAATCATAGGTTTGATCCTATGCATGTCTCATTATACGACAAGTCAAGATTTTATCGAGAGAAAAAAATCGCATCATTCGACATTGTGACTTTTGTAACCGACAATAAAAAATTGTGTGATCTGACCGGTGTTGTTTTAATGTTTTTATTCTAGCCAAACTAAAAGAAATAAGATTTTTTATCTTAAGAGAAGAAAAAAAAGGAAATACTTTGCTCTATTAAATATCACTTATAATAAAAATAAAAATACTAGTATGCTAGTAAAATAAGCAAGTATGATGAATCGATCAATTAATAAATCAGTCAGCCAATCAGTCAGTCAGTCAGTCAGTCTATCTGTCTGTCTGTCTATCCTTAAACAGTGCACACAGTATAACTAATTAATGTCATAAAGCAGTATTAAGTTTAGCTCAAATCAGCACCTTGGACAGAGCCAAGTGAATACAGTCAAGTGACTTTCCTCTTGGGACATTTGGCAGCAGGCATTGAATTAACTCTGAAGGTCAAACTAAATGAACACATCTTTATCTTAACAGCCATAACACTTAGGAAAGTCCACGAGCAGATTCTTTGTTTTAGCAAATGTTATGTTGACTTCTTGCGGTCCAACCTGCACCATCGCCCGCCCTCTCTTTCCATTACATGTGACTAGAGTGAGTCGTCAGCAAGCTGTCAACGCTGCTAGCCCTTCTATTACACTGACCTGCAGTGTTAGGAATGCAAACACAAACAGCTGTAGGAATGGTTAGCCTCGTGGTAAGTGACTTAAACGTTGCAGTGCAATGGAAATGCATAGTTTCAAGACTATGCTGTCAATTCTTGTGACTATGAATTATAAAAAGATTTTCAGTGACTATTCACACACTTTCTATTTGTTTTTTATCCATAATTAATAATCAGTGATAGGATATTCAAGTGGTAATTGGATAGGTATTTTGATAGGATGTATAGTTGTTAAAGAAATAATTCACCCAAAAATGAAATGTCTGCCATCTTTTAGGACTCGTGCTTCTCTAAACACAACACTTTTCATGAAACATAAAACATGATAAGATCTTTGTGTGATTTTGTTGTGTGCTTTTTAAAACTTCAAGAGGAAGTTTATTTTCGCTGGAAGAGACTGGCAAAGCATTGAATAAATTATTACAAAATGTAAATTTTTAGGTGAAATATACCTTTATCTTTTTCAAACAGGAAGCAAGTTGCAATTTTGTCACCTAACTACCTTTTCAAGTCCCTTTATCATCTGTGTTATAGTTAGCTAGTAAATAACATCATAGCACACACTATAAAATGAGCCTAATCCTAAAAGTATACTGCATTAACCACATGCTTTTGTTGGGATCATGTACAGTGCATAGCATATATAAGTACGCCCCTCACAAATCTCTCTTTTAAATTCAAATTTTTAATAGGAAAATATACAATATTATATTTGTGCATATACATTAGATTAGTTAGTACTGAAGCCAAATCTGGAGCATATCTAACAAACTAATTTACGAGAACGGTCCAAAATTGAGTACACACAAATTTATATGTTATATAAAAATATTAAATACAAATTTCAAAAAGAGGAAGAATCGAAAGAAGCAAAAATTTGAAAAATGTTGTTGGAATTTTGAACGTTGTAATTTGATTCTGCAATATTTTGCTTAAATTTAATTGTATTATCTTTCAATTTCTAAATATGTTTGGTGACTAAAATATTATTTTAATAATTATATCTGTTTAATAAATCTGTTTTATTTAAATGCACCAAAACACATTGCCTATATCCACTGAGAAATGGATAAAAATATTCATTTTCAAAATGGGGTCTACTTAATTATGCTGAGCACTGTAAGCACCGATGACACTTGCTGTTTCATCACTATATATTTATTTTCAAATACTTAAATAAATGTCTTCTTGCTTTTGAACACAGTCGTTGTTGGCATGCCTGCATCATCAGCTTTGACATGATTGGTAGTTAGCGTCAAATCAGGGCATCATAACTTTACTAACTCTTCAAAGCTAAACCATGAGAACATGTGGCTAAATGTCATTTAGTCACTAGTTGTAGTAGTAGTAACCATAGACTGCAGAAATTCTGTCAGATATATTGTTCTTGATTTTCCTTTTGACTTTGCATTGACCACTAGGGAGACAAAGGATCATTGGGCATTCCTGGAAGAATGGTGAGTGATTTGATGTACTAAGCCCAGCCTCTAGTCTATAGTAAATGACATTATGGCAGTAGTCTTGAGAAATTGGGTGTTAGTGTAGTTACCAACCCAGGGTCATTCTAAAAATGTACCTCTATATACATTTCTGGAGACTGCCAAATACATCCCAGGAGCTATGTTTCTTTGCCGTTTTTGTTTTCGCGGATCCGCCAAAGACCGCTGTGTATGCTTCAAATTTCTGTCACAAGTGTCATTCACCCATGCTGTTCTCACGTAAATCCAGAGGCCGCTGTTGACTGACTGCCCGACTGACTGACTCGTCAATAGACTGACCCATGCTTCTCTTTCCCTAAACCCAACCAATAGTATTTTTAAAAGCCCCAATTCACCCAACCACCCACTTAGCTAAACCCAACCGACAATTTTAAAAAGGATCATTTTCAGAATTTACTACATTATCACCCTGTTATTTACTTGTTCATTTATTTATTTTTTATTGTGATGTTGTCTAAAGCCCTGCTCATACTGTGAGATTCAGCCACGATTCTGTCATCTGAGACAAATTTGGGAAATCCTAAAAGATTCCTGAAATCCTGGGCTAAAATTGGTGAACTTTGATCGTTGGTTTGACTTGTTCACTGACAGCCGCTTAGTGCCCCTTGCGATCAGATTTTTCCTTCAATGAAGTTCTGGCAGTGTCAGAAGGTTTCAGACACTTTCCAGATTTCAGACACCCCCTTTTTTCTGCGATGAGTGTCAATCCAAGAACCAATAGGGGCTCCGAATTTGATCACGCAATTCATGCGACAATTTAAATGACCGCGGGGAAATGGCCATTTTTTTCCCCTGGTTTTGTTATTGAAACACACCGTGTGCAAAATTGCCAATAAACATGGGATAGTGAAAGTGTCACGGGTGGATGACGTCAAACTCCAGGGGAGTTTTCTTCCATGTTTGGCGCATCTTCATTGCCGTTCAGTCCGACTTTATGACAGCTAAGATCTTACAATGTGACATGGAAGCTATGTTTGTGCAGTCTGACAATTGTTCAGGATTACAAAAAAAATCTCACAGTGTGAGCCGGCCTTTACTCGCCTTCTGGAGTTGTTCCTCGTACCTCGTAGTTAACTTATTTCTATGTTTCAAGTCCGCCGATATAAATGGCGAGCTAACTGGGCAAATTGGTAACAGCGAGACAGCCGTCCATACGGAAGTAAGCGATCAGCTGATAAGCGCTACAAGGAATACCGCCCAATGGCGTTTGTTTTGAAAATGAAATGCAGCCATATGTAGCTCTGGCTACATAATTCACAATCTTCAGAAATGTATATAGGGCTACATTTTCAGAATGAGCCTATGTTGGTAATTACCACAGTATGTTATATTCAACGTACACTATCATTCATTTAACTTGCTTTAGCTTGCGCTATCCAGGTACACATTCACAAGGTTTCACAAGAATGTCTTCCAAAATTTAAATGTAGCGTTTCAGCTTTTCAGCACAACTGTATGATATAAACCAAGAACTGTAGCTTATTTGTTCAGCCAGAAAATGATTTCCACTTCATCGCCACTTTTGATGGTTAAGAAAATGTCTGACTGAGAAGTCTGAAATATTTTCCTTTCCCATTTGAACAAGGCCTGAAGACACAGAGTTCACTGGCTCTGTGTTTGATGAAAACCTCCTTCTCCTTTTTACTCAATTTGTCTTGGCTGCTCAGTCATGTGAAAATGCTTTACTTGTTGAACTTTAAATAGACATAGGCCTCAGGATATACTTTTTTTTTCTTATCAGTTACAGTCTACATGCTGAGAAGGCAAAAATCACAGCCAAACCTAAAGGAGATGTTGGAAGAAAATGTTGTGTATATATATATATATATATATATCCACAGAGAGACAATATGTACGTTTTCAAGATGAGAGAAACAGATTTGAAAACCACAGACAGTTGTAAGCTCTGCTTTACCTTGTCGTTCATAAGATTTGTGCATTTGGAATTGCCCTTTTTTCAGATTAGAGCAATGCATGATGTGTTGCAACAGAAATCTGGGTCGACCAAAATACACAGTCGTATAGATGTCCCTCTAGAGCGTAGGAACAGTTCTTCCTTAAAGATTTTCAGTAACAAACCGATAAAACTACATTGTCCTCAAAGGAGACATTCCAGGCTCTTGACCCTTGTATAGTTGCATACTCTTAGCTCACCCTAATGCTTTCTCTTGAAAAACAATCCCTACCTAAAAGCAGGTTTCAGCAGTGTTCACCTCAAACTGTGAGCCCCAAGCCGAGCTTTCCATATTTCACCCAGTGTAAAGCTACATTGTGCTCTTTCAGATTCTCACAGGAAGCGTTTTTCACCCTTCATGGCTTATCCTACCCCCCTCCAACCTCCTCCACTGACCAGTCTGTCTGTGAGAAAAGTTAGCAGCCCCCTCATCTACTATCCATTACTCCCCACAGGCCAGCAGTGTAACACTTCAATGCTTCCGTTCCCTTGTAGTCTCCACCCCTCAACATCCCAAAATGCTCCAGTACAACAGTGTGTCCCATTCCTCCTACCTACAAACACTCCGTCTCAGGCTGCTGCATGCATGTGTCCTCTTAGAACCTCTCTAACCCTGGTTCCTCTCTCTGTCTCTCTCCTTCTCACTGTGCATGTGACTGTGTCTGCTGTGACTGACCAGGGCTTAAAGGGAAACCTGGGGGAGAAGGTAAGTGCAGGATAATAGCCTGCATGTGCAGAATTGACACTCTCTCACTGTGGGTGGCTGTGTTGATGACGGTGGGTGGGGTGCGGGAGAACAACCCGAGCCCATCATGCAAAGTGCGCAGGTACTGTGATATATATCAAGAAGGCTTCAGGCTTTATTTTGAAAGACCTTGGGGGTCACATTGGGAAGACGTTTCCCACAATGCTTGGATTACCTGTGTTTATTCTTGGAGTGCTCTGAAGTTTTAAGACTCCCCACTTTAGATAAAGAGATCTTTGGAATAGAGTAGCTTTTGAAACCCTACCACTTCTGGACACATCCAAAACTATCCAAAATCCTGTGTAGTCGCTGGATGTGTCTTTGAGTTCTTGGTGTGACTGAGCACTTTATACTGGAGTTAGTGCACTGAGCTTCAGTTCCTGTTGTGGCAAGTGTGGTTTGAGCAGTTCTTTAACCAGTCTCATTTGGCTGCTGATCTCTGTGTTTGTACAAGCCAGCAGTTCTGCGGCCTCCCTTCATCAAGCTGGAATGATACGTCTGAGGCTGAACAAGCAATGTAAGGAGAAACATGTTCCTCATCCTTCACCATCACAGAAGTATATTGAAGCTTTTGGATGGTTACCCTCACTTGCCAACAATTCACTGGGGTTCTGAAGAATTTGGAAGGGAAATAAATAGTGTTTTGACCACTGGGCCGACAAGTAAAGAAGCAGACAATATACGACCTTGGAAAAACCCACCAGATTTTCATCCAGAATATACAGTGGGCTTCCCTTATTGTTCCAAGGGATTACTTTTTTTTACCCTTACAGTATGTTAAATGCAGCCTATCGTACCTTCTAGCAAGCATATGTCTTGACCCAAGGAATTTTGGGTTAAGAACTTCACTTTTCTGGATATCAAAACACACCCCTAAGGATGATTGGGCACGCTAGCTCTCAAAACTGGCAGCCTTAGTGTGTCAGTGCTCAAGCAAATAAATTGAATCAAATCATAACTGGTTATGTTGGAAAGCTCAAAGCTGAACAAAAATAAGGGGAATTGGTGATTGATTGGTTGAACTTTGCAAGAACTGCAGAACATGATACAATGTATTTTTGAGACAGAAAGGATTACTTGCTGAATGAAATGAAATCTTTGAAGATCATATCATTCGTCAGTAAGCCCAGTCCTTAAATATCAGCAGAATTTCGCCTGCTTTTGCTGATTATATTTGGACTCTTTGTCCAGTACCCATTCCTGGCTGCCAAATCCTTGTAACGTAAGCCTGTTCAAAGGGATATCTTTAGATCTTCAGTTGTTCTGTTGCACAGATCTCTGCACGATTCTGTGGGTAACCGTAAACCTTAGGGTCAAAGCTTAGGAGTTCTTTCCTTTTCCACAACCAAAAAAGTCTCGTACATCACCCCTTTCAGATTGTAGGTGACTCAATAAAGCACTAAAACAAATACCCCGATGAAGTGGGCATTGAACCAGAAAAACTAAAAACTGTCCACAATTTGATGGATGGCTGGGTCATCAAAGGTGTCCTCCTGATAGAGTTTCGCATGAGAGAGCTAATTAGGGAAAGTGCTGGAAACCCGAGAGCTTTCCTGTCTGACCACAGAGTGTTGCGGGATTCTGCTTGGATGTTTGGTGCAGCTCTGCGGACAGGCCAACACCGTGCAAATCACCTAGTTTGCGCCAGATAACCAGTCCACCGGGCCGTTAGTTGTTTACTCAGCAGTGCTCTCTGACCCGCTCAACTCGCTGTCAAGATGTAAACTACGACCCTGAAATGAGAACCAAGGTCTGCTGACATTTTACTTACAGACCAAAATACTGTGTTCACCTCTGAGCCGCATGCAAGCGCTCTCAGTGAGGCGGCTTAGCGTAAGAGTTATGTCAAACAGATGTTACAGGGTGTTTCAGAAAGGCTTTTCTATTCTCCATATACACTATATTCACTGATACATTTGGCTTTGTACACTAGGTGTAGTTTAGTGGATATCATTCTATCTCTTTTTTTCCTAGTTCTTCTCCTCACTGTCTTTCTACCTCTCTATCTGTCCGTAGGGAGCACCAGGAGAGCCAGGTCTGTCTATCATTGGCCCACGAGGACCTCCTGTAAGTGTTTGCTCTGTCACTGCTAAAACTCTTCATCATTTCCTCCTAATGTCAGATCTCCAGAGTAGATACAGGTCAGAGGTGCAGATTTTAGCAGCTTTCGGCCTCAATCTTTTCCAAGAGTTTCTGGCAAGGGGTTCTTCTATTGTTTTTCTTTCCGCACTTGACTTACAAACCTCCCTAAAGTGAGCTTGATGAATATATAGTTTGGGGTAGATAAGCAGGATCAGTGTTATCCAGAACACTACTACTGTATGTGAACCAAATCCAATGAATCTCTGTTAATCAAGACCTGATCTCTAATATGCACGAACAGGACAAGAATCCCACTACAGCTTGTATGGAAGCACTTACACTTCATCAGAGTATTTTAGGGCTGCGACTCCCACATAATGACACCCATTTGGAATCTCATCTTCATTAGCAAGTAGGAATGAAAACATCCCACCCCTTGTCATTATAATCCAGACGTTATACGTGCCGATTGGGCTGTATCTGTTAATGAGTGGTCAGCCATCAGGCGAAATGGGGCTTGTCCCCAAACTGGCACCCTTTTTCCTTTCCACACATTCCAGCGAGTAAGTAAAAAGCCTAATGTTATGCCAGCAGAGGTGCAATTTCCTTGCTGATTATGTTGTTCAAAACTGTCTGTGGTTTCCACATTCATCCCAATGTAGTCTTATGGCAGAGCCAACAGACCGTTCAGACATATGTTTTTCCGCTTGCTGATTATACACTTCTCTATACCTCTGACCCATCACCTCTAATAAGGTGTCAGGAGTGGACATCAGGGATAGAGAACTGGTGACAGGCAGAAGTTTCATTGCAGGGCTGCCTCAGAGGGAATGTCTTTAGCAGGTGAGCTGAAAGACTAGGCTTTGTCCTCACCTCCAAAGGGGTCAAAGAGGTTGATTTGAGGCAGAAGTGTGGAGAAGCCAGCGGAAATTACTTCTTTAGTCATGCAGGTAGATGTTTAGTTTTCATGCCAAAGTGGGGTAGTTAGGGAGAGGACAGCTATCTGTAGATGACATAATGGGTTGTCATTACCTGATCAGCCTGGACAATAACTATATATTGTCCAGGCTGATCAGGTTAGGGTAATGCTGTGTTCACACCAGACGGAGAATGTGCAGATAAATTGCGATATTCCCGTGTAAATAGCCGCGTGAACATTTGATTTTACTTGCTTCATCCGCGTGTCAAACCCCACTTCATTCGCACATCAAATCCACTTCATTCACACGTCAGATTCACTTCAGATTAGACGCAGATTCGCGTGATGGGCCGGGCTTCTTTCTGCCCGGTGACTCTAGATTCGTTGCTAAATGGCTAACATGGATTTTATTAAGAAAATAACAATGTTTATGTGGTTTATGAAGGCTGAAATACAACATTGATACATCTAGGGCCATGTCTGAGTCCCCTAAATCCTTTCAGAGGTGCATCCAACTCTGTGAGCTTATTTCCTCCAGAATCTTAACCTGGATGATGGAGGCTTTCAGCGGTGCTTCTGACTGAGCCGAGCCCAGTTTGATGAACTGTTGTCAGTGTCAGCTGGAGGATTTCCCCCGGGATACCAACAACAGGTGCTACGTCACAATCACGCCCCCACAAGCGCAAGCTCCTGATTGGTTAACGCTGCACGAATGTCCGCTTAAGTTCAGATTTTTGAACTTGAGCGATTCGCATCAAACGTGCAAAATGCTCAGTTTGCGCCGCAAACTTCTTCTATGTCTGTTGTGAACACAGCATTAGGGTTATCCAAAGGGTCTATAGAGGTCAATTAATAACAAATATTTTATTTATTTAATGTGTAAAGTTAACATGGCAACTTTCCATTAAAATATAAATTATCCAAAGTGAGCTTTCTCTCCTAGTAGTTTTTTTCCCCCTTAGTAGTTCCCCCTTACAAGATTGTAAAGATTCATAAATGATGCTGAATCTCATTATCAAAAATCTTTATCTTTGACTCATGGTATACATATAAAAATGGTCTCTGTTCAGTTTATGATTGAAAGTATTATACTTAATCTTGTTTTAATGACATGAATGTATTACAGTCAGGAAATTGTCTTTATATCAGTCCTGAAAAAGCTATGTATTAAGTCCGTAGTGTATTTTTGGTTTGGAAGAATTCTTGGACTGGAATTGCTTTCATTACATTTTCATGCCAACGAAATGAACGTCGTCAGTCCTGTTTCAGAATAATTTGAGTGGGGCGCATGCCGCTGCTTCCATAATTTCAGACCTTTAGGTTCCCAAGGCAGAAAAAAAAACAACCATGTTCCAATAACTACCTGAGACCCAGACACACAATCCCCTTCATTAGCTCAGTTCACCTCTTCCTTGTAATTTTCTCTCAGGTTGCTCCAACACAGTCCTTTTTTTTTGCCAAGTATATTGAATGACTTCCTCTTTTCCCAAGGGCAGCAAACGTTTTTTCAGGAAAGCAAACTTAGTATTGTTCACCGGAGAATGTAGCACTAATCATTACTGACATTCACTCATACAGTGTGTGAGAGCCAATAAGACAAGGCTAACAAATTAAATAAGGACTACTCTTTAATGTTTGTTCTTTCCAGTGTTGAGTTTCAGTTGGTGTCCCACAGTTTTTAAAGCTTTATTTGTCTTTGTCTCCACATCCCACACAAAGTGCTTCCTACAGAGCAGGAAGGCTCCTGTCCTTCAACCTCAATTACGACACAACTGAGTTTGGAGGAACAATACTCCGTCTCTCAACACAGACCTCCTTTCATCGAGTTCACATAATCCTCATGTTTTTCGTATAGAAAATAACTCCTCTTCTTTTTTTTCTTTCTGTCTTCCCTCAGGGACAGCCCGGTACTAGAGGATTTCCAGGCTTTCCGGTAAGTCACTTTTGTCGGAAACCAACCAGACAAACTTATAAAGATTTTATTTGTGAGTTTATAAAAGCCGCCAATTAGCCACTGGTTATCTGGCCCCTAATTTAAAGGATTCACAAAGAAATGACTCAAGGAAGTGAGAATAAATATACTGTAGACATGTGCAGCTGTTATTCTATGAGTTGGATGATGTGAAACTGTATATGCACTGCAATGTGCATAAATGTCCCAAGACCCTTTCTATGGGCTGTCTTTGAGCTCTATATGTTAAAGGGTCTTTTCAGGTGTTTATTACCAGCCGTGAGCACTGATCCACAGGACACAGAGAGAACACTGAATTCAGTAATACATTCAGTGTTTCTAGTAAATCTTTTGCACTTGACCTTTCCCAGCAGGCACACAACATTGTAAGATATTAATATTAGGTTAGATTCAGGTCATGACGTCAGGTGACCAAATTTCAATGTCTAGCCAGCATCTAAGGACAACGTTATTTAAACGTCAAATTACGTTGATATTTGGTTGATTTTAGATTGTGTTGGAAAGTGACCAAAATCCAACGTCTGATAGATGTCATGGTGGTAATGTCTATATCACGTCAAGATGTAACATGATTAGACGTTGATAATTGGTTGATTTAAGGTTGATTTTAGGTTGGACATTTAACATTGACGTCGGCCTGATGTTGGGTTCTGATGTCAACCTGATTTTCATTTCCAAACAAAATCCAACGTCCTCATGACGTTGGGGTACAACATCAATCAATTCTTTCTTTCTTTCTTTCTTTCTTTCTTTCTTTCTTTTTTCTTCCTTTCTTCTTCAGCGTCTAGGGACAACCTTATTTAGATGTCCAATAATGATGTCAAATTACGTTAATATTTCGTTGATTTTAGGTTGTGTTGGAAAGTGACCAAAATCCAACGTCTGATAGATGTAATGGTGGTAATGTCCACACAACGTCAAGGTGTAACATGATTAGGCATTGATAATTGGTTGATTTAAGGTTGATTTTAGGTTGGATAATAGATCTTGATGTTGGCCTGTTGTTGGGTTCTGACTTCAATCTGATTTTCATTTCCAAACAAAATCCAATGTCCCCATGACGTTGGGGTATGTTGGGGTACAACGTCAATATGACATTAGGTTAACATCCTGTGCCTTCAAGGCAGCCTTGACCTGACTTTTAAGGAAATACCTCTATTTTTGTCCATAAACATTGTTACATCAGTGCGCTTGTCTAGAGAATTAAAGCTGTTTTGTGCCGTCACAATGTTGCCAATCTGCTGTTTTCCCCCTTTTTTCTTCAGGGCCCCATTGGCTTGGACGGGAAACCCGTGAGTTTTTCTTCATTCCTTATAAATGTTTTAATAATTACCAATCACACAGGTTTGGAACCTCTGAACCCTTTTACCAAATTGTTTAGCCGTAATGGATAATTGACGGCCATTTTGATAATTATGGTAACAATGATTATACCAATTATTGTAATAAATTCACTATTGTCACCAGTCATGACAACATGAAACCAATAATGGCATGCGTGCAATGAATGAAGTCATTTCTGCTACCCAAAAGTCTAAAGATTTTTTCTATTTCACCTGTGCTGTATTTATTTATTTATTGTTTTGAAAACTTACAGGGACAGAATGGTCCAAAAGGTGATATGGTAAGTTCTACTAGTTTTACAGCTGTTAAACACTATTTCATTTGCACTATTTGACAGTGCTTTTAAGAAAACACCTTTCAGCCTTGACTGGTATTAATAGAAGTGTTAAAATCCAAATGTAAATACTTTTAGTTTAAATGCACACACTAATGTTATACCGTTTGAATAAAAAAACATTTGTCATGGAGAGAAATATGTAAAGAAGTAAAACATATCATAAAGAGAAATTTGTCAGTGTCCATAAAACTCACCAGTAGAGCCATTTGTTTTCGAGATGGCTTGTTACACTGATGTTTATCTAGGCTGCAAGCATGGCCATATAAATTCACAAGAACAACACTCTTGTAGTTTGATTTATGGGTGGAGTGACTGAACGGCAGCATATGTGTGTGTGCGTATGTGTGAGATGAGAGGTCGCTTTCCTACATCTCATTCAGTGGGGTTTGTTAAAAGTAACTTCATGTGAAAATCTGTATGACTTTAGCCGCCTGTGGTATTAAAACAAGGACATTGAGTTGGCTCTCTCCTCTAAAGTACGGCTTTAAAAATGTAGTCAGAGCTTTCTTTCATGTGATGAAAGACAATGGGCAGATTCGGTATGCTCCAAGGCTATGTGCTTTAAACTGCTCCTTATGAAAAGTAGTATAACTCCTATGTTCTTTCTTTTATAGCATTGTGAAAAAAGCAAGCTTAGAATCTATAAAATAAGAGAGCTTTTCTGAAAAGACACCTTTATAAAATTGCATCAGAGATGAATGGCCTCTCCTGAGCTTTTGAATTCACTGCATTGAGCTCCTAAAGTACGCAAATACATCCTAAGCTGGATCTTTTATAATTTATTGACAAGTTTCTTCAAGACTCATTATGCACCTCATTTGACTTTATCCAGATTTAGTAGTACTTGAAAAATTTTTGTTGGCATTTTAGGAAGAATATCATGGTTCCTTGGAATCAGTCTAGCTGTGAAAGTTACTTTACATGTTTTCAGATGACTTAATGCATTGTGGAGCATGTTTTTTTATGAATATAATATTTATTAATATCAAAAACAGTTAATGGTGCCCTGTGTAAAAGTGTACAACGAATCTTCCAAATTCCTAAAGCAGGATTGGGCGATGTCAACCAATTTGGCATTGTACAATGTCTAATGTGAAACATTGCAATGGACGATGGCATCGTTGTCACAGGCGGCAGTGAATTAATTATTTATGGATAATTAATTAATTGATTAATAAGGAATAAATTGTTTGTAGCCTACCGTTTCAACTTTTTGACCCACATAGTCTTTGTATACCCATAACCAAATCATAAATAGATAAAGATAAGTTACACAAAAATTACCACCTGTCTATCACTTTTTCCGCTAGACTCTAAACTCATTTAGAGATATCAGCAAATATTTTTCAATGGAAGTCAATGGAGGAATATGACTAGTCATAATATATTTGCAGATATCCACAATCTGATTTCGTACTAGTACAATTGTAATTGCAGATATCTCTAATTGTCATTCTGACTAGTCGAATTATAATTATGACTAGTCAAAATATAATTAGAGATATCTCTAAATATATTTATGGATAGTCAGAACAAAGGTTTAAATGCTAAAACGGCTTGCCATACGCTCTCACTCAGCAGCACAGTGGAGATTTCTCTAGTTATATCGTTTCAGTCGTTTGATATGCCGTCAAATATTTCGCCAAACAGTCCTTATGGATGCGGGGACACGCAGTCAGATATTTTTTTCTTTCTTTCTTTCTTTCTTTCTTTCTTTCTTTCTTTCTTTCTTTCTTTCTTTCTTTCTTTCTTTCTTTCTTTCTTTCTTTCTTTCTTTCTGTTTTTCCTTTCTTCTCTCTGTCTTTCTTTCTCTTTCTTTCTCTCTCTCTTCTTTCTTTCTTTCTTTCTTTCTTTTCTTCTTTATGTCTTTTCTTTCTCTCTCTCTCTCTTTTACTTTCTTTTTCTCTCTCTCTTTTTACTTTCTTTCTTTCTCTCTTTCTCTATCTATCTTTCTTCCTTCCTTCCTTCCTTTCTTTCTTTCTTTCTTTTCTTCTTTATGTCTTTCTTTCTTTCTCTCTCTTTTTTACTTTCTTTCATTCTCTCTCTCTTTTTACTTTCTTTCTTTCTCTCTATCTCTATCTATCTTTCTTCCTTTCTTCCTTCCTTCCTTGCTTGCTTTCTTTCTTTCTTTCTTTCTTTTCTACATTATGTCTTTCTTTCTTTCTCTCTCTCTTTTTTTTACTTTCTTTCTTTCTTTCTCTCTTTCTTTCTCTATCTATCTTTCTTTCTTTCTTTCTTTCTTTCTTTCTTTCTTTCTTTCTTTCTTTCTTTCTTTCTTTCTTTCTTAAATAAACACTCTGTTTTGTCTCTAGTCTGAATAAGAACTTAATTTATAAAGGATTTGTTTGTGTGTTTGTGCTTGTTATGATTGATCTGTTTGCTATAGTTGACTATATTTTAATTGTGATTATTTTTTCAGGGTCCTCGCGGTCCTAAAGGAGTACCAGTAAGTGTTTGCTTTGACATTAAAATGTAGTCACAGGAGGTTTTTTTTACATGGCAGTGGAATGCTATGCATGAATTATGTTTTGGATGGATTTTCAGTGTTTTGTGCAAACCTTATTTTTCAGGGTGAACCTGGTCCAAAAGGAGAGAAGGTAAATAATTTATGAACAATTGTTCTGTAGTTTATGAAACGGTCCAAGATAACTCCACATGATTGCTGTCTATCTCTTTTTCTCTCGCTCTTTTTCGTTCTTTTTCTCTTTTTAGGGTGCATGCGGAGAGTACACTCACAGGGTGAGCAAATATTAATTGAACATTTTCAATATTAATTGACTTGTACACCAAATATGATTCAAAATTTATCTGGTGGCATGGTGGTTTGGTGGTCCCGACTGGACCAGGTGGCTTTTCTGTATGGATTGTGCATGTTCCCGTTGGTTTCCTTATGGGTGATGCTGTTTTTCTCACAGTCCAAAGATATGCAGTCTGGGTGAACTAGACAAAGTGTATGAATGGGAGAGTGTGTTTGTGTTTCCCAGCACAGGGTGTTGCACATGTTAAGGCAGGCTTACACAGTGTGAATTCTGATGGTCAGATGATTGTATGTCTATGCACACATCACTCGTGATTTAATGTGAAAATCATATGGACACAGTGGTATACGACAATTGTATGACTCTGAAGCAATATAATATAATATTGATAATATAGAATGATGATATTTATGAATAGCAATCTAACAAAAATCCGCACCAAAAACTTGAACAGAGGAAGACGATACTATCATTGCTTTTAGAGCCACTCTCTCTCTCTTATTTTCTTACAGAAACATAATATTGATAAGAGACATGAATGTTTACTACTCATACAGGTTATTCTTCAACACTGGGAAATCAGGATTCTAATTGGAATTCTAAAGCTTATAGTCTGTTATCAACTATCATCTTTGGCATCCCTGTCAGACAGTATGTGACATCATTCAGCGCTCGCTGTTCAGTGAGTTTCTCTAATTGGTTTGTCCTATTTGCTCAACCTCAGATAGATCGACAGAACTGCACATACTATACACTGTAAAATGTAATAAGTTGACCTTACTTGGAAAAATGTATTAATTTTTAAAAAATTATAAATTTTAAGTGAGCATAACTTAAAACTGTTTGCATCTACAACTTTTAAAGTAAATTTTAGTACCGTTGACTCAAAATAATTAGTTGTTAACTTATTATTAGTGTTCACATTACCATACTGTAAAACCCAAAAAGATAAGGTAACTCAAACCATTTGAGGAAACCAACAAACTATTTAAGTTCAAAAACCAATCCTAATAAGTACTGTGAACTTAATCCATTTGAGTAAACAAAGCAATGTGAGCATAGTTAAACCCAATAAATAAAGAGAACTCAAACCAACTGGGAACTGTAAAACTCAATAAGTTAAGGCAACTCAAACCATTTGAGGAAACCGATTGCTACAAACCATTTGAGTTTAAAAAAACTAATCCTAATGAGCACTGTGAACTTACTCCATTTAAGTTGAAGTAATGAGGTATTTATTTAACTCGTGACCTTCAAAACTCTTTTCAAATGAGTAGAATTAACTTTCAGTAAATTTTGGGTTAACTACACTCATTTCATTTGATAAAGTTGGGTTTTACTGTGTAAAATATTAGGAAACTCATTGCCTAAAATGATCAAGTAAGCTGAACTAAAACATTTAAGTAAAGACAAAAACCAATACATACAGTGCACTACTAAAACATTTCTATTGTCTAATATTGTAGTGTGTCAAACAGGCATCAATCAATCAGTCAGGCATCACAGCAATCACCTTAAACAGTCTTTAAACATACATTTATTACTTTCTCAGCATAAAAAACAATGCAATGCACATGCAGGATGAACAACCGACCTTGTAAAACATTTAGCATTCGTGTATACTGCAAAAAAACAACATAACACTTCAACACTTTAATATAACAAGTCATTTTAAGCAACGTTTAATGCACTAATAATAATAATAAAAATAAAAATAATATTTACATAATTGGGGCAGCAGAGTGTCTCAGTGGGTAGCACAATTGCCTTACAGCAAGAAGGCCGCTGGTTCGAGCCCCAGCTTGGTCAGTTGGCATTTTTTGTGTGGAGTTTGCATGTTCTCTCCGTGATCGAGTGGGTTTTCTCAGGGTTCTCCGGTTTCTCCGGTTTCCCCCACACTCCGAACTTAGCGTATGTGTGGGAATGAGAGTGTATGGATGTTTCCCAGTGTTGGTGTGTGGCTGGAAGGGCATCCGCTGCGTCAAACATATGCTGGATAAGTTGGCGGTTCATTCCGCTGTAACGACCCCTGATTAATAAAGGGACCAAGCCGAAAAGAAAATGAAGGAATGAATTTACATAATAATATTTATTTGTTTATCATTATTTAAATATGTATTATTATTATTATTATTATTATTATTATTATTATTATTATTATCATTATTTTATAAATATTTTATAATATCATTTATTATATATAGTACCCATCTAAATATTATTAAATATTTGTATTAATATTAATATATTTTAATATAATCATACATACATTTTAAACATCAACTAATTGAAAAAGCTCTCAGATTTCTTATGCTTATGTCTGATTATGCTTAAGTTTTTATTCTTCCACCTACTTCCTCAGTTCCCTCATCACCGTTCTTTATCATTAATATGCTTTTGACACATGACCACTCAAAAGTTGTAAATACAACTACAAAGTCAAGATGACTCGAATTTATTTAGTTTACAACTTAATGTGCTAAAAAGTTGGGATTACTTCTTTAAATATTGTAAGGTGAACAAACTTATTTATAATAATAAGTTAACTGCACTTAATTGTATCAGTGAGACCAGCTATTGCTTTTTACAGTGTACCTCGTTCATTTAAGTTTTCTGACCTGTTTTAAAATTAACTTAAATGGCTTGGCTTGTAAATTCCTTTCTCACGGTACAATCTGGAACCATATGAGCATTTTCCACACATATTCTCCCAAAAGAAAAAAATAATTGCATACAAGCTACAGCAAAAATCACACTGTGTACTCCTGCTTTTAGTGCACTCTTAACGTTAACGTTAACAGGTTGTGGCAGGAAGGGTATCTGCTGGTGAAATGTGCAAGAGTAATTGGAGGTTCATTCTGCTGTGGAGGCCTCTGATTAAAAAAAGGGAAAATGCTGAAGGAAAGTGAGTGAGTGAGAGTGAGGTTCTCTGGTTTTTAATGCTGAGAAATCACAAACATGTGTTTTCCAGTTTACGTGATGTTCTTCTATTTGTCAAAGTGATTTGTGTTACTCCTAAAAAAGACATGAACAACATGTTTTGCGGTTAAATTAGAGACGTTGAAATTGGAGGAAAAAACAAAGGAAAAGCTTGGATTGACAGCTTGGATGAAGTCTCAGATAGGTAGCACATGAGTCGATGCCAAGGCAGGGTCTCGGAGTTGATCACATCTCTCCCGGGGAAATCACAGTTGGTGTAAACAAAGCAATTTTACCAACAGCCTGCTGAATTGGATTTGATATGGCTCTCTGTTGAAGACATCCAATTTTTTTTTTTTATGTGGTGTGTAGGGGATTCAGTAACAGCCCTGCACTACTTAAAAGCAATTTTGGCCTTTTGAAGCTATTTTATCAATTATGTAATCTCAAAAACAACATGCAACACAGCGGCAGGAAAAAAGTCTTGGCTGTAGATATTTCTGTGGAATATGTTTGGCTTGAAAAAGAAAGAGCAGAAATAGCAACAGGACAACAATTTTGTATTTAATCACGGTTTTAATTGTGCATAAGTAAGTTTAATCAGTATATCATACATATATCACATCAAAACAGAGGTGTTTTTCATGCGTGCCAGGCCATATGGGAGGCTGTTGACTATTTAGAAAACTACATGTGAGGGTGGTCTTTTGGGTAGTTCTTTTGAGGGTTCTTTGCAGTTGCACTGTAAAAAGTGATTAGTTACTTTACTTAAAAAGTGACTTACAACAGTTTTTTTTTTTTTTACATTTTTATAATTATGAACATTATTTATGTGCTTAATAATTTTAATAACAGGTTTACTCATTAAAGCAACTCTGCTTTAAAAGCAACATGTTTGCTCCCTTATTTTTAATGGAACACTCCAGGTTTTTTTTTTTTTTTTTACTTTTTTTTTTACTACTCTTGAGATAAATGGTTTAGTTTTACCATTTTTTAAATCCATTTAGCCAATCTCAGGAGGAACACTTTTAGCTTAAAATAGATAATAGAGTAAGATCATTCGCATCTCACTTTAAAATGAAGAAAACAATTTTATAATTTTCATATGCAAAAAATTTGTCATGTTAACAAACCTTGCACACTGAGTCCGATGCGTATTAATTAATCTATTTTGAAATGGAAGTATCTATAGACATTAGAGAGCAAAGCAACGGACTGAACGGAAAATAAGGTGATTATCCCTGTTCGTTAAATGTGTGGACACACACACACAAACACGCACGCACGCACGCACACACACACACACACCCCAAACAGCAGCAGGGGAGAGGTGTGCCATTCACAAAATCCATCATGGGTTCTTAACTGTCTGCCACATTCTGGCTTATATTATGCACTGTGCTTGTCATATCTGTGGCTCAAGTGACAGCTTTTTGTATTTTGCCATTTGCTTGTATGGTGGCCTGAACTTTCAAAACACTTCTGAAAATTTTTTTTGGATGCGAAAAACTGAAAAAAATCTAACCCAGTTCGTTTTTTTTTTTTTTTTTAATGACGGACGAAAGTTTCAGAAGCAGTGTGTCAGAACGATTTACACAGCGTGAGGTCGAATTTATTTTTTAACGTGCAAAAATTACGGCCGGAAATTTCGGATTCAGTGTGCAATAACCTTGACTCTTCTGTAGTTAAATTGTGTACTGAGACAAACAGAAATGAAAAGTTGCCCTTTTCTAGGCTGAACTCCTGTGAGAGTGAATATACTGCCTCCCGATGGTGAATACAGTTATACTCATGGCAGGTATCCGCTTTTTAAGTCATGATGTATCAGTGACATATGTAATACTCATTCCGGGACCCGAAAGCCGGAAGCCGCTTCATGTGACATCACACTTAACAAGCGTTTTTTTTGGTCGTTTAGACAATTGGTAACTGACAAATGTCATCTGGGAAACAGTTAAAATTTCTGCTTTGTAAAAAAAACCATTAGTGCTCTATTTGGGATGACACTACATTCATATACTATGCTGTTGAGTGTGTACTGTAAGTGCATAAGTAAATAGT